GTCGCCTACCCTTAAGCGAGGACACACATAAACAATATTTCCCCTTTTTATGCGTCTCCGTAAATCCACGTTCTCTTTCCTATTCTTATGAGAAAAAGGGTAAGACGGTAAAAGGAATAAAGTTAGGCCTACGGTAACACACTCATCAGACGAAATGCGGAATTGCACCCACTTCACACCTGTCTTCTGTGTGGTATGTCTGCAGTGCGAGGTTGTTAAAGCGGGTCCTACCACCGAAAACTGTACTAACTCTGAAACTTTTTTTAATTTCCTATATTATACTATACATGTTACTTTATATCCAAAAACCTCAATGACATTATCGGCCGTGCCTAAAAATTAATTTAATCTTGTTTTACAATTTAATGGTCTTCCAATTTTCTGGGATCTTTTTCACCGTCAACTAAGCCTCTAAAACTTAAAAATAAGTAACAAATACTTAATCTCAAATGTGTGGCTTACGACTGTATTTAGTTTCCGTTGATATTTTGACCACTCAAGTTCATATATTTATATATGTTTCCAGGTTTGCTTTAGTTGCTGTTCAGATGGTCATATCGCTGTGTGGGATCTCCATAATCAAACATTAGTTAGACAATTCCAAGGTAAGACGTTACAATTATAATAGATAAGAAATTTGAATTTCCATCGTATTGCGATAATAATTTAATTTACCCTGCGTTTTTTAAATTATAATGATTTAACATAATGTTTATTAACACATGCAAAACATAGTTACGAAGACGTGTAGATAGACTCAGACATGAAATTAAAATTATTGCTTTTCTATGTCACGTTTCTAATTAACGAAGACAATAGTATTCGTTGATTAAATACATCAGTAAGAGCACTCGAAACCGACATGCTTGCAGATGTGGATTAATGTAGAAATGAGAGATGTCAGAATCGAGCCAAATCATCTGCTTACCCCACTAAGATGTGGGATTGAGTTATATTATCTAATTGTTAAATTAATATAAATCATACTAATATGCGAAATTTTAGATAGATGGATGAATGTTTGTTAAAGTTTGTAGCTTAAACGATTTTCGATGAAATTTGATATATATCTAGAGAATACTCTGGAAGAACATATAGGCTACTCACTTTTATTTTTTTAATTCCATGCGGACGGAGTCACGGGCGAAAGCTAGTACAAAATAATTTTGCAAATATTACAAATTGTTACTTAGGACAGTTTATATAAGAGCTTGTTGTGTAGGGCACACGGACGGCGCATCGTGTATCGACATGAGCGCGGACGGGTCGCGGCTGTGGACGGGCGGGCTGGACAGCACGGTGCGCTCCTGGGACTTGCGCGAGGGGCGCCAGCTGCACCAGCACGACTTCAACAGCCAGATATTCTCACTAGGATACTGTCCTACTGGTAATATCATCATCATCAGCTCTCTTTATATCCACTCCGGGACTTCCACCAGTACAGTGGACAGTCGTGTACACAAGGCATAATATTTATGAACTCAATGTTGCCAGTTAGTGTTCAAACTATATTAGTTATTCTCGATTGCAACTGGAATAGTGTGGGGTCAAATTATTGAACCCTACTTTAGTAACGGCATCATCATTATCATCATCAGCTCACTATACATCCACTGTGGGACTTTGAACAGTACAGTGGACAGTCGTGTACACAAGGCATAATATTTAGGGACTTAATGTTGCCAGTTAATGGTTACACTATGCTATATATTCTCGCTTTCAACTGGAATAGTGTGGGGTCAAGTTGTTGAAGCCTACTCTTGTCATCATCATCAAAAGCTCACTTTACATTCACTGAGGGACTTAGACCAGTACATTGGACAGTAGTGTACACATGGCGTAATATTTATGGACTCAATGTTGCCAGTTAGTGTTCAAACTATATTAGTTATTCTCGATTGCAACTGGAATAGTGTGGGGTCAAATTATTGAACCCTACTTTGGTAATGGCATCATCATTATCATCATCAGCTCACTATACATCCACTGTGGGACTTTGAACAGTACAGTGGACAGTCGTGTACACAAGGCATAATATTTAGGGACTTAATGTTGCCAGTTAATGGTTACACTATGCTATATATTCTCGCTTTCAACTGGAATAGTGTGGGGTCAAGTTGTTGAAGCCTACTCTTGTCATCATCATCGAAAGCTCACTTTACATTCACTGAGGGACTTAGACCAGTACATTGGACAGTAGTGTACACATGGCGTAATATTTATGGACTCAATCTTGCCAGTTAGTGTTCACACTTTGCTACTTATTCTCGCTTGCGAGTGGAATAGTTTGGCGTTAAGTTATTGAACGTACTTTCCAACTGTAGTGGACAAGAATCAAAGGCATAACACTTAGTTAGGGATATCTATTTTCACATGTGGCTATTGGAATTCGGCATAATAGTGAAGCACATAGATTATGACCATTAGCAGATACGTTGCTGATGTTGAAACAACAGAAAAGCATATAAGAGGATATTTCCCCAAATATGCGTCCCAGTCCTTTCTCTACCCACTCTAAATACTTTCTCTTCCCATTTTATCGTTATACGAATAGGGTGGAAAGTGAAAATTACTAAAATTAGGCCTCCAATAAGCACACACAGACTATACATCTGACGCCTTTGTGTTACATTCGTATGAATATTAAAGCGAATATAACTGAAATCTTCATCCCTTACCAGGTTCGTGGCTGGCAGTGGGCATGGAGAACTCGCAGGTGGAGGTGCTGCACTGCGGCAAGCCGGACCGCTACCAGCTGCTGCTGCACGAGAGCTGCGTGCTCGCGCTCAAGTTCGCGGCGGCCGGCAGCTGGTTCGTCTCCACTGGGAAAGATAATCTGCTCAACGCGTGGCGGACGCCGTACGGAGCTAGTATATTCCAGGTAATCTTACTAATATTATAAATGCGAAGTTTAAATGGATGGATGCATGGTTGTTAGAGTTTGTAGCCTAAACGGATGAACAAAATTTCGATGAAACTTGGTATGGATGTAGGGGATAGTCTGGAAGAGAACGTAAGCTACTTACTTTTGTTTTTTTTCAACGCGGAAGGAGTCGCGGGCGAGAGCTAGTAATATTATAAATGCGAAGTTTAGATGGATGGATGGATGTTAGAGTTTGTAGTCGACACTACTAAACGGATCTCAACGCAATTTGGCATAGATGTAGAGGATAGTCTAGAAGAACTTAAGCTACTCACTTTTGTTATTTTTTATTTCTACGCGGATGGGGTCGCGGGCGAAAGCTAGTATTAATCTAATACCACGTTGTAGAACCATCGGTTAATAAGTGTTGTATTGTGGTGTTGGTAAAAAAAAGATTATTAGGAAAAAACTTCACATAATATTTTGAGGTAGGAGAGATTAAAATAAGTTACTGATAATATAATTTTTTGAATAAAGTGCCATTTGCCCTCAATTTCATCATGTGTTCTTTCAGACTATTTTTACATCTGTGAAATATTTGACACCATTGCAATACACATTTTAAATACTTTGTTGGTCCTGTAATTACGTGTTTGTCATCATTTTTTTAATTACCTTGTTGTTTTTTTCTCTTATTCCTAATTGTGTTGTAGTGGTGATAGGATTAAATATTATTCTATTATTATTTTATTTTATATTTCATCAAGATCTCCTAAGCCGTTTTGGAAATACGTTTTAACTAGTAATAAATATCCATAAATTGAATTCAATATAATATCGCAGTTGTTTTACGAATATAATTTTATTTTTGTATTCCAGTCGAAAGAATCGTCGTCGGTGCTGAGTTGTGATATATCGTCGGACGATAAGTTCATAGTGACAGGGTCTGGTGACAAGAAAGCGACAGTCTACGAAGTGATGTATTAAGACAGAGATAGTGATAGTGGTAGACATAGTTGATATCGCGGTCCAGTGCAGATGTACGGTGTGGCAGATTAAAATGTTGTATCAGTGTACACATTCCAGTCGCTGGAATACTGGTATGGCTACTGGCATTACTTCAGTATAGTGTCAGTGACAAACTATTACTTTCCCACAACTTACATCAAGTAAATACCACAAATGTGCTAGCTACTTCATGCTAGTTAGTGTTTGTTTGTGGCTGGCACTCGCCAATAGCTTGATACAAGTATTCCAGCTACTGGCATGTGCATTTCCGCCCATAGTTTAATTTAAGCATGAGATTTTATGTAAAAGAATTTTTGATGTAGGTTTGGTTTACAGACCAGTGCAGCGGAGAGTAGATTTTTATTACGAGGTATAAAGTCTCATGCTAAAAAGAATTTAATAAAATAAATGTAGCTTTTTTATTGTAAATATATGAATAATGAAATAAGCATTAAAATTTATATGAAAACATTTTGTAATTGAAGAAAACATATCAATGTGTCGAACTTATTGTTTTTTTATTGTCAAATTGTAATGTATATTTTTTATGTGTTATTTTTTTTTCGTAAATTATTTAAAACGAAACTGTTTTTGTCCAGTTAATTTGATGAACATTTAATCTGTCATACCATAATTAAATCAGATGCAAAGTTGATTATTCAACTTTTATAAAAGTATAATTGTATTTAGAAAGAAATATATAAATTCAATTTGATACATTTTTACTTTGTAAACAATTAAGTTATTTGTTAGTATTCTAAATTCCCTTTTTTTCAAAGTTTTTAATAAAAAAATTGTAAAATAGACAAAACTCAAGTTTGTACCTTTTTTCTGGTTCTGTTTGTATAGTCAACTTTGTATTGGATGTTGTATAAAGTTTATTGTAACAGAAGGAACAATGTTGCAATGTTAAATGTGGATAATTTTAGCGTTATTGTATATTTTTTATATGAATGATAAGAAAATGAAAACAATTTTATTTACTAAATTGTATTTCCTTATTTCTACCTTTCCCTTTTCTTGAAGTCTCAAAAGTATTCATTGATTTTCATGAAGATTACACAAGATAAGTTACTGAAGAAAAAAACATTTTGAAGCTACAGCTAATACCGCAAAGCAACTTCGATAAAGATTTCGCTTTTTGCCCATCAAATTACTGCATCATACAAAAAAGCATTAAATATAGAAAAATTTTTCACAATTTCCAATTGAGGAATTGGAAATTGTGAAATTGAACACTTTCTTTTGGTATTTCTAAACAGAAACGATGTCAAAATGACAGTGACACTGACGTTTGCATTTGACGTAGGATTGTTGACGTCCCCGATTTTCGTAGAATTTGTTCAAAAAATTAAAAAATACAATTAAGTTGAATTAGATGCCTTAAAGTGTTTCAATAATGCCTCAACCGAGCTTGCTAGATATTGTGCCGGAAGAATTATTTCAAACACATTCTATCACGGAGATAGACCATGTACAGAAGAAATTGCAGTATGAAATCGAGCGAAAGAGGGAAGATTTAAGGGCGATGGTAGGGTAAGTTATCAGGATATTTCATTTCCTAAACACCTTATTCCGTTACTTTATAAGCTAAAATTTTAATGAACTATATCTTATAATGTTGGCGTGGTTATTTCAAAAGTGCACGTCAATTGTGAAGGTTCTATATCTTTAAATAATTTCTAAGATAAGAAATAAGTATAAAGTCGTTGTAAAATATAGAACTTAAACCCATCAATGTGTACAAAATACTAACGAAAAACGTACAACTGCATTTTGTTTTTTTAGAGAAAGATATCGCGATTTAATCCAAGCTGCGGACACAATAGAAGAAATGAAATTAACAACAAGCAGCACTTTAGATCATATAAATGAAATGACAGTTGCATGCAAGAGTTTACATGATACACATTTGGTTGGCTTCAAAGTTCAAGAACAACCTAAAAAACCAAGGTAAATAAAACCCAATTAAGCTTTTAATGTTACATACAAGCTATATAAACTATTACTAACTATACCTCACACTAATATTATAAATACATGAATTTAGATAGATTGTAGTTATGTATTGCCTGATTGGCTCAATGGTTCTTGCTGAATGGCACATTTTTTACTTTGATGTGGGCTAATAATATAAAGGGCAAAGATTTGTATTTTTATATGCATTGAAATAACTCAAGAACTACTTGGCCAATTTTACAAATTCTTTCACCATTAGAAAGCTAAGTTATCGCTAAGTAACTTAGGCAATACTTTTTAATTTCACATCCAAGACGCAAGCAACAACTAGTAAAATATGGAATAGTATTAGAACTATGAATAAAAATTTATACCTTTGTTTCAGTTTTCAATTAAAGCCAAATCCTGCACAAGTTATAGCAATACAAGTAAAATTGTTAATGGAAATACCTGAAAAAATATGGAAATGCATTGAGCGAGATGACTTTGTTAAGGCATCGCAACTGTTTATTATGGCAAGACATATCAATACAGGTAATAAATCAAATTTACATTTAAATAAGATATTTCTATTACGCCTTAGTTTTATCCTATTAATATTGTAGATTACAAAAAGTATAGATGGAGGGATGTTTCTTAGAGTTTGCATCCAAGTTCCAAGTAAATGGTGTTTTGGGGTAAAAACATAGTCTGGAAGATCACATAGGCTTTTTACTAAGTTTCATTTTAAATTCTGCATGGACAGTGTCAAGACAAAAGTTATTAACTATAGATTATAAAGAAATAATTACCTGTAAGTTTTAGACAGCTTTTAAAATATGAATAGGAAGTCTGATAAAAAGCATAATTTTTGAATATAGTATCTTTTAACAGTGTTATAGTTTTTAAGATTATTGAGGATGAGAATTAATTTTAGTAAAGTTTTTTAATTACCAGGGTTGCAGTTACAAATAGGTGGTGAAAATGCCAAACCCAGTATGCAGTCGATACAGAGAATTGTGCAGCAACAATGGTTATCAATCTCTAACTTCAGTCAGACAATTATCAATGAGTGTAGGAAGAAATTGCAAGATGTCGATATTAGTGTATCAGTAAGTATAAATTAAGTATACACTGCCATCTGTAAATTAACATTCCCCTCGCATTTTGTTAAAAAAACGATATATTTGCCACAGCAGTGAAAACCAAAGATTTTTTTCAATTCTGTACTACTATGATGGCTAGAATGTCTGTGGGTCAGGGGTTTAAGCACTTGATTTGTAATATACTGGGTTTGAAGCCATGTATCAATGATTTTTGATATAAAATTTCATATGTACAATTGACTTGATGTTCTTACGGTGAACGAAAACACTGTAATTATATGTGCGAAGTCAACCCGCAGTGCGCCAATACTTGAATAGTCTGGTCCTAACTTAGAATAGGCTCCGAGCCCTAAAGTGAAACTATGACTTGAGCAAAACATTATTGACTCTTACAGGTGGCAAGTTCTTGTCTTGTAAGTCTTTACCTGCTAGACTCTCAGACTATGGTGGAACTTCTCAACACTCTCATTGGCTTACACAGTGACAGCAGTTTGCGATCCACCCTACAGTTTGATCTGACACATATATTAGAAGGAGATGTCAAAGCACAGATTAAAAAGAAAATTGTTAATGGAGTTAAAATTGTTTTGAAGACAGTTGTTTTGGTGTATGCTTGTTTTGTAGGTAAGTTTTTTTTTATAACATAAGGTGGCAAACGAGCATGCCGCCACCTGAATCCGCCAAAATGGCGAAGCGACCGCTGCCCATAGACATCCGCAATTGCAGATGCGTCGCTTACCCTTATCCGACGGAGGAGTAGACGTACATAAACAGGATATTTCCACTTCCTATGCATCTCCTCCACTGTCAAATCACTTCCCCTTCTCATCCTCTCCTTATAAGAAAAGGGTGGTAACGAGAAAGGGACTTAAATTAGACCTCTGGCACCACACTCATCAGACGAAACACGGAATTGCTTCCATTTGACGCCTGTCTTCTGTGTGGTCGTGGTATTACTGGGGGCGAGCCGGCCCTGCAGTGCTAAGATGTTAAAGCAGGCACTACCACAGTTAAAACTATTTATATAAAAGTATTGTTAATAATTTTATATAAATAGTTTTAAAGTTTTACAGAATATGTGTTGACTTAAATTTTGTAATAAAAGATTTATTATTTGAAAACATTACTGTTACTGAATATTTAAAGTTGATTATGATAAATATATTATAAAGCAGGGTTTTAATTGCTTTTAGATAATGAAGGTGGTGCAGTGTTGGAAATGCTGAAAGATTTATACAAAAGGGATTCCAAAACTCTATTAGATTTAGTGGAGTTCAGTGACACAGCGTCATTGCGATTGTTACCATCTGCTATATCTAATTACAAGTGAGATACAATTTTTTTACTTCTTATTTACACACACAATTTATTAAAAAAATCTACTGATATAAATAACTTATTTATAACTTTAAACAATATAGCTTGTCATACAAGCTATTCCCTTCTGACCTCATCCGCATGGAATTATAAAAACTTTATTTTATATAACAATTACCATTACTATGGTAACCTTGCTTCCTTGATGCCAGCTTGTAGTTTTTATCCCGTTCCCGCAGGACGGTTTTTTCAAAATTATTTATTCTCTAAGCTTAATAGCGTGAAAATTTCTAATCGTAAGCTTGTAAGTGTAAGGATTTTTAATTAGAAATACATTATTAAAAATGTATTGTGATTGCTGAGATCCTAAATAACTAAGTAATGTGATTACGCTTTATTATATTAGTATAGATTACCTTTTTGTCCCAACATCTTAAAATAAAAATCTCTTCATAACAAGTCAGAGAAATTATAAACATATCAAAAAAACCAAGTAGTCACTACATAATATGCAAAATACACTCTATGGTATATTAATAAGGTTCAAATTTCCAGATTATCAACTCGGAAGGAAATACAAGCAGTAGCTAAGGAAGATATATCGAAATCAGTACAAAAATGGAGTGTATGGGTGAAGACATACATTGAGAGTAATGTACAGACTTTGCTGCAGAATGTCACTAGAGTTAAAGTTCTACACGAGATAAGAGAAGAAGCATTTAAAATAGGTATTATAAATTCACTAGCTTATGCCCGCGACTCCGTTCGCGTGGAAAAATAACTAGCTAATGTGTTTTTCCAGACTTCTACATCCATAAATTTCATCGAAATCCCTTCAGCAGTTTAGGTTAGACTACAAACTCTAACAAACATCCATCCATCTAAACTTTCCCATTTATATTACTAAGAGGACTATATGCTCCTAGGAAATCGAAAAACGTAAATTATTTAAAAAATGTATATAATATTTATGGTAACTGGCCAACATAATGGAATTTACATAAATAGAAATTACAAAACCACATAAAAACATACATAAACTTTTGTCAGTTCTGAAATTGAAAAAAAAACAATAAGACCATAGACCACTTGGCGTGGTCCTGATACGCCACACTTTTAAATTACCCAGAGAATTAGATATTATCATAAAATTTTTAAAAAAAGAGGGTCTATCAGCCATCTTAGCTGAATTCACTTTCCTCTTAAACAAACTCTTTCTCCATACATCCATATTCGGTCTATCTCTACATTTGTTACCATCTTTGTAGTCACTTGATGTTAATTTACTTTTTATAGAAACACCCTCAAACTGGAGTGCAGTGTGCACAGCTCTAGATATACCGGAAGTCCATGTGTGGTGTCACTACTTCCAGCCTTTGTTGACCTCTCGAGTCAAACATATTATAGACAACCGATGGCTCAAAGTTTACGATGGTTTTAAAACTCAATTACTAGTTGATTTAACTAAAGTATCTTCTGATAATGAATTAGAGAAGGAATTCGATATAAATTGGTTTGTATGGAAGGATCTTATTGGTGAAACTGTTATAGAATCAAGGAATGACGTCATCAGTGTTATGAATTCGCTAATGAAAGGTAAGTATCGCTTAGTTTTAATAAAAAAAAAATGTTTAATCCTTGTCAACACTACAATTATGAAAAAAAAATAAACACAAAATAATGAGAAACATAAGTAATGAAATGAAAAAAAAGAAAAAGAAATATTTAAAATTAGCGTTGCAATGCAATTAAGTGATAGAAACCTAAACTAAGAGCTAAATTAACTATTCTGATTAAATATCTAATTGTAGACTAGCTGTTGCACGCGACTGCGTCCACCTTAAATATAAGCTTATGTTATTGATAACGCAGCTTTCTAATGTGAAAGATTTTTTAAAATCCAGTAGTTTTTGAATTGAGTTACTTAATATATACAATATCTTTTATCTTTATGATATTAGTATAGAGGAAATAATTGTAATTTTGTAGAATTATTGATTAAAGAAATCTTATATTATCTTAAAGCAGTTATTACTGAGTAAAGTAAATTAAATTAATTCCTAGATATATTTAAATTCCTCGCATTCGAAGTCGCGAAGTTTTCAAAAAGAGAATTGTATAAATTGCTACAATATACTTGTTTTATCAATTTTAAACATTATTAACAACATAAAGATATCTATTGAATAAAAAATGAAGGTTTATTTAGCCAGACTAGAAATAACCATTTATTGTTTAAAAACATGGAACTGACTCGAGTACAAAAGTGAACAGTAAAGAAATTATTAAAACAACCCCAAGCGAGGGTTTTCATAAACAGTAGAACCTCGATAAGTTAAAGTCCAAGGGAAACACAAAGTGTTTTCAGTTGTAGAGGTTTTGGGGAAGGGGACATATTATTTTATTAAGTTACTAGCTGTTCCCGTGCGATTTCATCCGCATGAAATTATGAAAATATTATTTCATTGTTTACATGTGTCAAATTATCAATTGCAAATGTCAAAATGACATGACATGATGACAACCTTGCCTCCTCGATGTTGGCAGCAACTTATGGTCTCTTTCCTATATTAGGATTTTTATCCAAAATATTAACCCCCAAAGTTTAATGGCGTTAAAATTTATAGCCTAAAGCGTGACGTAAGTGTAGGGCTTTTTATTAAAAAAAAATAATTATTCAAAAATATGCTGTGATTGCTGACATCTTAGGCAACAAAGAAGTGTGTGTTTACGCTTTATTATAATAGTACAGACAGAGGTTTTTAAGTTACCGAGGTTTCAGTTATCGAGGTTCTACTGTACTTGGTTTAACTATAACATGGTTTTTTTAATAGCATTTTTGTATAGGTATGTCAAGACAAGACCGTGGCTTCACACCGAACATAGAGAAACTCTGTCAAGGTTTAGATGATGAATTACAGAAGCTTCTAGAAGATTTGAAAGTGTATTTATATCCAGAGAAGAGAAGTAGAAGTAATAAATTACTGTTTTATGAAGAAGATGATAAACAACAGATATACAGCGATAGGGAGGATATTGAAGTTTATTTGAGAAATGTCTCTGATACAAATATACAAAGGTAAAGATTTTAATTAGATTATTGTAAAGTTAATTTTTCTTTCTTTTTCTGTAGCTCTGTGTGAAGTGCTGTACACTTTGTGGGCCTTGGCTTGGTCCAGAATTTTTTTCCATTTCGGCCTATCTCTGGCCACGGTCCTCCAGTTCGCTATGCCAACGGTTTTCACGTCTCTACTTATGCCGTCTATCCACCGTTATCTTTCAACGTTCTTCCAACTCTTCCAAATTCTTCAAACTTCCAAATCTTCCAACGTTATCTTAATGTCTTCACTAACATTCGCCCGCGACTTCTCCGTGGAATTTCAAAGAGTGTTTCTATGTATTCTTGCAGATTATACTCTACATTTATGACACATTTCATCGAGATCCATTCAGTAGTTTAGGCTACATCTAGACTTTCGCATTTATAATCCTAGTAAGATAAACTAATGTAAAATCAATTCCTTTTTTAACCAGAAATTCGTTTGACTATTTCACAATAATGTATTAATTTTTAGTATGTTACAATACATAAAAGCGTGTTTCGAAGAGCCAACTTTACAATCAACTGAGTTACAAAGGAAGAGTACAGCGGTGTACTCGGCACGGTTCATACAAGCGATAGTATACCTTATGCCTAACTTACGTAAGTGCTATATTCCTGAAGACAACGCGGATATTATAGAAGAAACTGCAATAAACAGATGGAATAATATAAGTGGAATATTGAAAGAGAATTGCCAATACTGTTGGGGCAAATGGTTGGACATTGTAATGCAAAAGGTGATAGATTTGATCAAATGTTTGCCGCAAGAATTCACTTTGGAAGCCAATGTTGACTATTTGATGATGGTAATAATTTTTTTAACAACTGTTAGTAAAATATGATTGTTTTCTATACTAATATAAAAGAAAAGATTTGAACTTTTGTTAGTTTTTACAAGCAACGATTATTAGCAATAGTTAGTTTATTATGAGATGGTAAACGATTATCTGAATTCGCCGAAATAGCGAAATAACCGCTGTATAGATTTGAAATTCGTTTAAATGACGGAAAAAAGAGGAAATTTCCCCTTCCTAATCATCCCCTCAACTAAATTCCTAAAATTAGATTTCTTCAAAGTTTTTTTCTATTATTGAAAATTATTGTTTTTTTAGCAATGGGATGTAATACAAATACAAGAAAAAGACGACGAAGGGAACTCTATAGAATCGACTATAAAAGTTCCCGCGGGACCTTCTATTAAATTACAAGAATATTTATACTCAATCAGTCGTATTTTAGACGAAGTTGTCCCCCACACGTTACCGCACGAAGTTCATACAGAATTCGTGGAAAGAGTTACATCCGTCCTTCTCGCACACTACAATAATGTGATAAGAGAGAAAGAGACAGATATAAATCAGAGATGTGCGCTTCAGTTGTTGATGGATGTGAGACATTTGACGTTGCTCATGGTTCCGAGAGAGAATAAGAAATGTATGGAATATTCTCAGGATATTTGCGAGTTTTTAAGACAGAAAATAGATCCGTTTGACTATGATGTTTTTTATCCTTATATCCAGATTAATTTGAAGCGATCAGTGCAAAGAGTACAGGTAAATATATACATTATAATTGTATTATCAGATGATCTCCTTTGATTTAGGGTAGGCAACCCTGCAATTGCTGATGTATATGGGAAGCGATCCGCTTTCTCAGCGAATTTTGGTGGCCGCTCGCTTGTTTGCCACCTTGTAATCTATACATATAATAAAATTGGAGTGTCTGTAATATCAAAGGGAAAATTCCAGATTTCGGGAAGATGATGTATTTGCGTTACTCATAACGAAAATCGCGTTTAAAAAAATTTGTTTGTCTGTTTGTCTATCTGTCCGCAAGCCATGTTTCTTCCGGGTAATCTCATATAGACATAGACCCGCATATTATAGGCTACTTTTTTTCAATTCCGCGCTGTCAAAATGGCAACCGGACCGTTATCTCTGGAACGGGTTGACCGATTTGGACGGGACTTTGACTGAAAGCCGGTAAAAAGTAGATGGTCGCGGGAAAAAGACGAACATTTTTTTAAAACCACGCTAACGAAGTTTGCGGGCTCGTATGAAAATATGGTATTCCGTTTGTCAGACGTTGTTAGGCAGCCTGGTGCTGCATCACGGCCAGCTGCGCGGTGTGGTGGGCAGCCGCGCCACGTCGGGCGGCTCCGCGGACAACGCGGCGCGCCTGCTGGCTGCCACCGACGCGCACTGGTTCACACTGCTGCCCGTCGCCGCGCCCGCGCCCGTTATGCACAAGCAGGATAAAACTGTAAGTCATACTTCTGTATACTAAAGTAAAGCGTAAACACAAACTTCTTTGCTATGTTAGATACTTCTTACTAATATAAATGTGAAAGTTTAGATGTATGGATGGATGTTTGTTAGAGTTTGTAGCCTAAACGGCTATACGGATCTCGATGAAATTTTGCATAGATGTAGAGGGTAGTCTGGAAGAACACTTAGGCTACTTTTGTTTTTTTTTATTTCCACGCGGACAAAATTATTTCTTAAAAATAAATTACATACATATCTTTTTGTAATTCTGTAATTACATATGTTAATTATTTATAATTTTTATTTAATTTAAATATTTTTTTTTTATTATTTAATGCACAAACATTCTCTTGTACATATTTCTGAAGTTTTATCAAAATCTTTCAAATGGTTTACGTTAAAACAAAGTAGATTATCTATTTATATATTATAGAACAA